AATGAGGCTACTTTCCATTGCTCCATACCTCCATTTGTTTCACTCTGCACACTATCTGCATCACAAAGGTTTTTCAGCTTTTGGCACACATACCTTCCTGGAGACTGTCCATTGTCTTTATCCACACTATATCCAATGTACACATTTTGGAGTTGTTAGAAAATCCTTTTCCTAAAACATATCCTTGCTGGATCCCCTAGGGATTAGATTTCTAATATAAATAAATGTCTATTCCCTTACTCTCAGGAAATTTAGGATTGATTTTCCTCTTCATGGTATGTAGCCATTCCCAAACCCAATCCTTTAAAACAAAAAGGAACATTATAATAACATCGAATCTATCCTCACATGTCAAGAAGGAAACCCCACATCTGGCTCAATAAACTGTACGGATTCTGGAACATCCACTATTTTTGTTATAATTATTCCACAAATAGCTCGATCCAGATTTTACATTTTTAACTAAATTTAAAAAAAATTGGGAACTTAAAAGCTGAATCTCTATCTGGCTTATAAATGTTTTCCAGTTGCACTTCTTACTAACCATGTAGTCCTGGGCAAACTATTTAACTCTACGTATCAGTTTTATCCTCTGTAAAACAAGGATAACCATAATGTTGCCCTTATGATGTGAGCATGAAATTATTACAAATTACATGCAATGCCTGGCATATAGTAAGTGCTCAATAAATATTCCTTGATTCTGTTTCAGTGATCATTACCACAACTGCTTTGACAACTTGTAGTCTCAGATCCTGGCAAAACCAACTGGTTGTTTCGTGGTGATCAACTTTAGATTTTCTGCAGAACTCAAAGTCAACATTCAAATGTTCAATTTCCTTTTCCTTGCTGATCAAAATTTCTATGGATGCAATTGATTCTCCAGCTGATGGCAAGCAAGATTTAAATATCTGAAATCAACTGTTAACTGCATCATAGGCAAAAAGGGAAATAGCTGCAATAGTACAATCATCTAGCATCACAATTACATAGAAAGGGAAATAAGTGCTGATTTCATGTGTCATTCCCAAATCAAGGCACTTCATGGAAAATGGCATCATTGTTTCTTATCTGATGCTGAAACCATTCTCACTAGTCTTTTGGATTCAGTACTGGTTTTAATTTTTGCCTTTGGGTTTTTTGTTAAATATCCAATTTGTCCAAGTACCAATTCAGATTCAATATAGCTATATGTATCTGAGATCCAATGAAAGAGTTTAAACGGAAACAAGGTTTACTTTGTAAAGAATAATTTTGGCATTGGCAGGCCTGGGAGAGAGCATCAGTTCTGCAATAGAATCATTCTTCCAGACCCTTTTAACTTTCTGCTCCATCTCACTTAGCAGCAAGCTTTCATCCTTACGGTAAGACTGGCAGCTGCATTTCCATACCCCATCTGCATTATGGGCCATGGGTGAAATATGTGTGTCCTAGATGGAAGGGAGTGGTGGGAAGTGAATATTTGATTCTGCATCATGTAACCCTGAACAAAACTGATTTGTAGCAACACAAAAAGACAAGCTGAATAATAGTTAGATAACTAACAGTATCCACCTAAAGGGAAGAAGCCCAATCCTATCGTTTAGAACAAATAACATATGTTCAGGTACATGTGTGTATTCAGCAGGGCTGGCAGAACACCAACTGCCCTAGAGTAGCAGATGCCTTGTTTATCAGAGCTGTGACGCTGTCCTCTAACTATTCCCCCTGCCTCCAGTCTCATCCCCTGCAAGCCCTTACAATAGAGGTTGGCAAACTTTTTCTGTAAAAGGCAACACAGGAAACATTTTCAGCTTTGTGTCAAATGGTCTCCATTGCAACTTCTCAGTTCTGCCACTGTAATGCCTACCATAGGCATTACTACCAAACTACCATAGGCAATATTTAAACAAATGGGCGGGGCTGTATTCCAGTTAAACTTTATTTACGAAAACAGACAGCAAGCTGAATTTGTCTCCCCTGCCATTGCTGGCCGGTCCTTCCACTAAAATATTACTAGCTTATTAATTCTAAAATCAGAATCAATGCAAATATCACCCATTCTGAAGCAAATATGGAAAGTGAGTTCCTCCCTCCACTAACTTTCAGGGGACTTCCTATACATTCATATTAAAATGTACATTCTATGCTCTGAAGATGCTTTTTTTATCTGTTTTTCTTTAGCGAGTTCTCTCTCTCTCTCAATGGAATCATGCCTAGAAGCACAGTAATACAATTACTTAAAGCCTATTCTGTTTTTTCTATTTGTTCTTTTTCTCTACTTTTTTTTAATGGATGCTTATTTTTTTTTTAATTTTTTTTTTATTTTTATTCATTTGAGAGAGAGAGAGAATGAGAGATAGAGAGCACGAGAGGGAAGAGGGTCAGAGGGAGAAGCAGACTCCCTGCTGAGCAGGGAGCCCGATGCGGGACTCGATCCCGGGACTCCAGGATCATGACCTGAGCGGAAGGCAGTCGCTTAACCAACTGAGCCACCCAGGCGCCCCTGGATGCTTATTTTTTTAAAAAAATTATTTATTTGAGAGAAAGAGAGTGAGAGAGAGCACTCTCTCTCAGGGGGAAGGGAGGAGAGGCAGAGGGAGAAGCAGACTCCCCACTGAGCAGGAAGCCTGAGACAGGGTTGATCCCAGGACCGTGGGATCATGACCTGAGCTGAAGGCAGACGCTTAAATGACAAAGCCACCCAAGTGCCCCTTTTTCTCTACTTCTTGCAGATATTATATATTTCTCCTCAACCATACTCATCTCAGTAAAAGAACTTAGGAATACTGTTTCCCATTCCCATCCTCCTCTCAAGTTCTGGATGAAGACTTTGTAATGTTGTGACTTGTTCCTAAGTGCTCAAACTATAGCCTATGCTTCAATAATTCCTTGAAGCTTCATGATTCTTAGATTGTACAGTGTCCTTTAGCATCCTCAAATGTACCCAATTAGACTTAACTGTGTACACACACAAACACATACTTCAGGGTACATTTCCAATATATATATTTTTTTCCTTTCCTTGTCATTTTCCTTGATTTCAAAGATTGCTGTTTGGATTCATTTTCAACATTTTCTCAAATATATTTTTAGATAAGATAAGGTGATGATCTACTTTCTTGATCCTTCCCCAAACATTTATTTTATCTTGACAAATGAATCATATTTTGATGAACAAAGGATTTGGAGCTCGAAATTTTTTTTTTCTTTGTATGTTATATGTTCAACTGTCAATCAGATTCTAGTATTTCAAGTGATAAATAAGATGTGTGTGTATATATATATATATATATATACACGTATATAAATTAGTAGGCAATTTAAAAATATCTGAAATTTTATAAAAATGTATCTTTTATTTGGGTTTTAGGTACTTTGCCAGGATTTACCTAGGTTTAATTCTTATTCTAACCCTTCCTCAAAAAATCTATTAAACTCATAAATTCAATATATTCTTCACCTCAAGGAAAAAAATATTGTTCATTCCTTCATCTACTCTTTTTTGCTGTCTGGTAACATACATCATTCACACGAGAGGTCTAATGAGCATATCTTTTATGTCTCATCTTGTACCACAACTCCCACATTTTGGGGATTTTTTGCTCTCTGATTTTTACTTACTTTTTCCAGTCTGATATGTTCTCAAGCTCCAGGACAATAATTTGGATCATATCAATGATGGTACATGCCTTAATCATATACTGATATTTTGTTGTTTACTAGTTGCAGAAAACATGGCTCTGAATTACAGAAATTTCTTTATAGTATCCCAACAACACTAGGGCTCTTGTTTTCTTCTGCTCAGTAACTTGCTCGGTAATGACTACTCTGCCTGTGTTTCTCTTTGGTGCTTTGCCCCTTGGTTATGGTGGTTTCACCTGTACTCCTTGGGGCTCTTATGTAGCCTTACCAATGGCATTCTCATAAATGATGGAGTCACAGAGATCTTCACTTCTGTGAGACAAAAGGGGGCTAGCAAATGGGGTGTCAGTTCCTTGACAAGGTGAGAGAAGGAAGTCTGTTCTAGAGTTTCCACATAAACTCTCACCTGCCAGGCTTAATGGTGTTGAGCCATATAGACTTACATATATAATACTCATATCTAGTAATACATATAAGCTCAAATATATAAAATCTTTACTCAAAAATTGTGTTCTACATCCCAGCTTAGAGTCTTACAGAGATAGTAAAAAATTATCATAGCTGAACTTCATTTTAATGATTTAGAAAATTTATCATAGGAGCTAAAAACAAAATAAAATAGCTATATGACAGAGATCTATAAGTAATGAGAAATCCCCAGATCAGCAGAGTGACTAGAGACCTAGATCATAACCCATCAACTGCAGTGTAAGCTCTACATTCAAGAGAACCTGGTGTCAATTTCTTCTTGGCCCTTTTCTAGATATATGAATTTGGGAAAATCACCTAATTACAGTATGCCGGTTTATACATCTTTAAAATGGTATCCAAAATACTTTAAGGATTATGTATGTTTTAAAACAAATAAGGTATGTAAATGCTTATGAGTATCTAAAAGGTTTTATTGAATACTGTAGCTATTACTTACAATTTTAATGTAATTTGCTCATAAACTGCAAGCTTAAAAGACGTGTAGCAAAAGATTTCAGACATTATACTGTCTATTTTTATTTATGTAAATTTTCACCTTGAATGTGTTGGTATCTTCGTAGCAAGATACATGAAGAAATTATATGGTCAAAACCTCTGTCAAGTAAGAATTGCTGGTGTTTTCCCATAAAGGAAAGGTTTTTTTTTTTTTCTTGATAAACAAACCATTACCTATACTTATAAGTTTATAAATGAATATTAACAAATACTATAATATCTAGACCCAATATTCTTTAACATTTTAAGCCACATGTAAATATCAAAATATTTTGAAATTTCTTCAGATTTCTACACACACGCACAAACGAAAACCTTGTCTTCAAATGATGACTTTTTGGATTCTCAAATATATATTAACTGCCAAAGTAAAGAATGGTTTTTCTTACCCATATCTGACATTTCAGGCACAGTAACGATGTATGGTCCATCTGTGAACTTTGGAGCATTATCATTGATGTCTTGTACTTTGATTATGAACTCGGATTCAGGTTCAAGAGGCTTGTTTGTTCGTCTGTCAATAGCCTGGGCATGAAGCACATAGTGGGTCTTCTGCTCTCTGTCTAGGCTTTTCGTTGAGTGGATGTCACCGGTGGTATCATCAATGATAAATATAGTCCCAGCACCTTCTCCAGTAAGGATGTACTTGACAGACCCATCGCCTTTGTCAGAATTGGAGTGCAGCTGGAAAATAAAAATTAAATAATGTAGCTTCCAATTATATTCTAACCTAACATCATGTTACCTTAAAATTGTCTATCTATAATTTTTAACTTACTTTGATTATAACTTTTCTTATCTCCACAGTGTCCTGTCAGTTACTACAATCATTTATTTTTCTGCAGTTTTTCTCTACTTGGTATTGATATGGATATTTTTATCATGATCTAAAAAATACAATTATTTACTTAAGAGAAATAAATAATACTAATTAAAAGAAAAACAATAACACTTGATGTTATTCTACTAATTCACCACTTCACTAACTACAGAAAATAGAATTGGAGAAAGAAATTACCAGTGATTCACTGTTGCCTTCAATACTTTCAGGAATAATGATTTTTTAAAATTAATTGCTTGGCATTTTATTTCAAACATAAAATTTTAAAAAGAAAAATATATATGGCAGGAGAATATTCAAATTATTAAAACTTTCCACAAAAGAGGCACTTATTTGTTACAAAGGTATTAATTTTATAATTTGAAAAATTAAAAAAAAAGAATTTTCCTGATTAATTGTTCAGATTTAGAACATTAAGGGCATTAAATAGATTAAAATAGAATATTTTCTTTTTTTAAGTTTATTTGTTTGTTTATTTTTAGTCATCTCTTTGCCCAACATGGGGCTTGAACTCATGACCCCGAGATCAAGAGTCACATGTTCTACTGACTGAGCCAGCCAGGCATCCCCCCTTTTTTTTTTTAATTATGAAACTTTAACTCAAAATTTAAATAGTAGTAAATCAAAATTGATTGATTTAATCAATACATGGGCCTATTTTTTAATTAATTGAAATACACTAACAAATTCTCATTCATTAAAATAAAAATAATGGAATATCATTTTAAAAATATTACAGAGTAATACTTCAGTAGAGAAGAAGTATTTAGTAAGAAAGATAAATACATATTAAGATAATTATAAACCACTTTTTCATCATTTAAACATCAGAAAATGCTTTTATTTTTAAATTTTTATTTATTTATTTAGATTTTATTTATTTATCTTAGAGAGAGAGAGCATGGGGGATGGGGCAGAGGGAGAGGGAGAGAGAGAATCTCAAGCAGACTCTGCACTGAGTGTAGAGCCCAACACGGAGCTCAAGCTCATAACCCTGAGATCATGATCTGAGCTGAAATTAACAGTTGAATGCTTAACCGACTGAGCCATTCAGGTAACCCAAGACATGCTTTTAAACTGCATATAATTCATACTTCATAATCTATTACAACTTATACCATCTTAATTAAATATTTCCATAAGAGCCACTGCTATATTTCTAACGAGAAACAACCACACAATATTTACTTAAATCTTAAACATATATTTGAAGAATTGTGAATTGTTTCTCCCAAGAGATTTGAACAGTTATCCTTCATATGAAACTCTTTTGGTTACTTAACCTTAACTGCTCCCCTTTTGCTCATTTCTGACACTTGGAAACATTGAAAAATATAACCTCGTTCATACAGCTTTTGGGTTTCTTGCCATAATAAAGAGAAAATTTTCAAGGATTATATTAAAGTCTCTGAACTCTTAGAAGACATTTTTTAAAAAGATAAAATATAGAAAAATATAATAAACTGTGACAAAAGGACTATTTTATGGTAAAATTGAGGCAACTGAAATATAAATTATAGTATCTCAAAAATAATCCTATCTCTTTCTTGAAAATGCATAAGACATAAACAGGGACAAATTCTGATGGGAATCACTTAGCAAGATTCAACAAATTATATCTTTCCAAAATTACTTTTTTTTTGAGCTTTTATAAAGAGGCGTAAGAACTCCATTAGCAAAATATGAAAAACATAGCTTTCAAAGATTTCACACTTCATTAGTAAATTAACCACTGAATAAAGAATGCATAATGAGTTGTTTGGAGATAGTTGTAAGCATGGATGGAAATGCAATAGTCATTTCTTTATGTTTCTCAACATATCTTTTTAGCACCTAGAAAAAGGATTTATCATTTATGAAGCAGAAACCTGCAAAATATCAAAAGAGCAGCCTGTTTCACATTTTGCAACTTTGGTTTAATCCCTAACCAAATCATGGCAAAGTAAAACAACAAATTCATTAAACAAATGTTTTTAAAAACACTTTCTCAAACACTCTTGTTATTAAATAAAATGAGACAGGGGCTCGCTTTGGCAGCACATATTCTAAAATTGGAATGATACAGAGAAGATGAGCATGGTCCCTGCTCAAGGATGACACACCAATTCGTGAAGCATTCCATATTTTTCAAACAGGGTTTTAGAGGGGAGGGGGGAGGGGGGATTGGTTAGCCCAGTGATGGGTATTAAGGAGGGCACGTACTGCATGGAGCACTGGGTGTTATACGAAAACAATGGATCATGGATCACCACATCAAAAACTAATGATGTATTGTATGGTGACTAATATAACATAATAAAATTTAAAAAAATACCCAAATTTGAAACATAATAGGTAAAAAAAAATGTGAGAAAGTTTTATTAGCTATTGTTATACTATATATAAATTATAAATCTATATAACTAATTTAAAACCCTTTTGTGGGAAATATGTTACACTTCTAACTACTACTTTCAGAAAGACATAGCAATGGTGACAATTGAATTTTATTTTCAGGATATATTTTCATATTCTTCTATGTTCTCAGTGAGGTTATTTTGATGTTCCTTTATTTTGGATTGAAGGTTTGTTTTACAAAATGTTAATCATATTTAAAGATTGGGCTTATATATATAGACCAGCAATGGAAGTATGTAAGAGAAATAGGCAAGTTGTCAATCTAAAGCATGTATTAAAAACATAACACACTCTATGCTTTATATAGATTGTTAGGCATTTCAGATAAAAGACAAATATATGAGGAATTTTATGGCTTTAGATTTTAAGACTTGAATCTCATTCCATATTCATAAAGTGTTTATAATTAGTAAACAACTAAGCCTAAATATTCCCAAAGTTATGTCTAATTTGAAAATAGATGTGCAATAAAATCAGTGAGTTATAATTTAGCAGTATTTATATTATTGGACAACATAGTAAAAATTATATTAAAATGTTATAAATATGTATTTGAATTATATAAGATGTTAATAATGCTTAGCATGAGTGTTTAAATAATGTAGATAATCATTTCATTAATGGATTTTGTGAATCTCTCAGCAGGCCTAGTTGAATCTTGGAATGATTAGCTTTTATGTTAACGCAGATGGGAAACTATTACAATGGCATTTAGCTTATATGATTAGGATGATAACCATTTGTGAAAGAATAAAGTGATCCACTCAGGATTACCTCTTGTCTACAAATACCCATTTCCAAATGTTCAGTTCAGTTTGGAACACATATCTGCAACAGAAGTGGCTCTTGAGAGAACCACCAGCTATATTTTTTTCTTTTGCTTAATCAGTGAGTTTTAAGATCCTGAAAGAGCACATGTTGTATTTTAGGGTTTTTTAAGGCAAGAAACAGTGAATGAGTGAATGAATGAATGGATGAATGAGTGAATGAATGAATAAATGAAATGCGTGAGCAGTAATCATATTAGTAGAGGTAAAAATCTTAAGATACAGAGAGAAAGCTCTTTGATACAGATAATCATGTAAAACAGAAAACCAGGATAGAAATGTGTTATCTCTGAGTGTGGGCAGCAATAAGACATCAAACAAAAGAACTGGGAGTAGAGTACATACATTAGAAATACTCTGGATGTAGACGTGATGCTGATTTAGCAACAGCAAAATATGATGTTGTAAGTTGAGCTAGCTATTATATTAAGAGAGAATTTCATTGTATCTTACATTGACCTATGTAAAAATATTTGGGAGACAAAGTTGACTTTAGTCATGTATACTGAACTCTTTGTAGCAGAAAGTTTAGAAATACGAAATACCACTGAGAGAACAGTGTCAGGGTCTTATCACAACACACGGTGGTGGGAACATACTTTTAGAGTCATGAGATTTTGCAAAGTAAGTTATATTTTGTGCCAAAGGACAGAGGTTATATTGTCCTAAAGCAAGAAGAAAGAATGCTTGTGTATGTTATCACATAATAATGTAGGGTTAATTAACTGTTCTTTAGAGAACAGAAAAGGGGAGGAGAATGAAGAAAGAAAATATAACCACCCAAGGAAAGCAAAATGAGCACTTCTCTGACATTACTTTAATAAATTGTCTCTTTCTAAGTGTTAAGTAGTAACCTATGGCACTTAGGAAGCTCGTGCAACTCACATGAGTTCCCCGTAGAAAACTATTTATTCACCCCGGATCACATTAGGATCAGGACCTAAAAATTTATAGCTTTCACTCCAAGGCAGAGTTCCTCACTAAGATAATATTCTACCCCTTGGGGAAGAATAACTTGGAAAGGTTAAGAAGATTGTGGCAGAGCAATTAATTTCAAAAGTTGCTTTTAGTCAGAACTTTGAGTTATGTTAAAAAGATAGGTCACTGACTTAAAATTATAATATTTTAAACTAAATGTTTTACGTATTTTTATGACTAGGAAACTTATATTTACAGTATTCCACTGGAATCCAGGAATAAAGTCAGAAATATTATATAGTAATTCCACTACTATTATTTTTCCCAACACATAAAATACAAGAGATGCAATATGAAGATCATAGGAAATACATTATTAAAATTTATTATACATCCTTCATTCCAGAATGTGTTGTATTTTTTCCAGAATGTGTTATATTTTAAACTATAAGCAGATGAAACAAAATTCAATTGAACTATTAATAACGAATTGATGTAAAGAAGAAAAAACATATGAAATCATAATAGTCTCTTGGTAATGAACATATCAGTCTTGTACAAAAAAAAAAACATAACCATTGGTTTTAATTAGGTATCAACTAATATGTAAAAAGTTATATTAAAGGGGCGCCTGGGTGGCTCAGTTGGTTAAGCAACTGCCTTCGGCTCAGGTCATGATCCTGGAGTCCCGGGATCGAGTC